CGCCTGCTGCATCTGTCCCCCTCCCGGCCGCGCCGGCCCGCTGCGCTGGCCCCCACCCGGCCCCCAGGCTCCCTTTCTACAGCACTGCCTTCCCGGGGTTTTTACCGCTTGCTTCCGCCACTTTGCTCAACGCCTGGGTTTCAGAGGCGGCTTCCTCCTTGGGAGCAGTGGCGGGCATGGCCGCCGAGACGTTCTAGAAACTTCTGAGCCAGGCTTGCGGCCCTGCCTGCTCACCGGGAGGACGTGGAGGAGAGGTGGCTCTGCGTCCGCCTCTCCAGTGCAGGGGCGTCCCTGTCCCAGCCCCAAGTGAGGCCGAGGGCAGTGGGAAGGGGGGGTCACCGCCGCCCCCCGGCAGTCCAGCCAGGCTCACTGTGACCACCACGACCTGGAGCGGCAGCGAGGGCCTGGCCGGGCCCGGGCCTGCGGGCTCCGGCTGCGCCCAGCGCTTCTCCCCGCCCTCCGGCTGCGCCTCCCCCGCTCCGCTGCCGGCGTCCGCAGCGCTGGGAGCTGCCTTCTCTGCGGCTCCCGCCAAGCCCAGACCCGGCTTTGCCCAGGACTTCGAGATGGGGTGAACTCGGTCAATAAAGTGTACTACCTCTGACCCTGGCCTCCGGCCTCTCCTGGGCCACCTGCCCTGTTGCCTGGCTGGGTCCCCACCCAGCTCCTCCAGGGGTTCTGCCTCCTCCCACATCAGGACCCCATGTGTGTTCTTCACAGCCCCAGGGCCTCAGCACAGACACTCATGTCTGTCCATCTGTCCGTCTGTCTCCACCAGGCTGCTGCAAGGCAGTAAAAACTGTCTCTCCCAACCCCAGGGGCCCTCGTACACCCCAATAGCTGAGACCAGCAGGCACCACCTCTAGCCCATGAAGCAGACAAATGCAGGACAGACTGCTTCACAGAGGCTTAAACTGGGTGTGGTGGCTCACACCTTTATCCCAGCACTCAGGAGGCTGAGACAGGACGATCCCTACAAGTTTGAGGCAAGCCTGGACTACATAGCAAGATGCTGTCTCAAAAACCAAAGCCCCACAAAATGAGAAACGCTTGTGGGATCTCAGGCTCACCTGGATAACCCAGGACAAGCTCACCTGAGAATTTAACTCAGTCACACCTGCCAAGATGTAGTGCCAACCCGCACCACGTCTGCAGGTGCCAGGAATTCCCTGTGAGTTCTGGGGGGTCCTCGCTCAGCCTACTTCAGAGGGGAAATTGCAGCGCTGGCCCATGTGACCCTCAGGGCTTCCTGTTTGGTTTGGGGGGTTGGGTGTCCCGTGTTCAGAGTGAGCAAATCTTCAGAAGTTTCTAGAGAAGTGGTGAATAGCGGATTACTGTGAGATCAGCCACTCTGAGGAGACGGGCACAAAGTGTCTCAATAAAAGCGGACCAAGCAAGCGCAGCCCGGGCCTTGGCAGCCGAGCTGCGAGCTTGTTCCTCTCCCGGGGGCAGGCGGCTCTGCTTCTGTCCTGTTACTCAGACCTGGAGGTAGGTCTTGGTGGATGAAGCCAAGCTCACCCCTCTTTAGAAGAAGGCAGATGGGTTTTTAAAAAATGTCAGCTGGCATGGTGGTGGCGCACACCCGTAATCCTAGCACTTGGGAAGGCTGAGGCAGGAGGATCACAAATTCAAGCCCATCCTGGGCAACTTAGCCACTTAGATCCTATCTAAAAATAAAAAAGGGCTGGGGAGTTAGTTCAGTGTGAAGGCCCTGGGTTCAGTCCCCCATACAGCGACACACACACACACACACACACACACACACACACACACACACTTCACATGCTGTAAGCCTAGCGCTCGGGAAGCTGAGACAGGAGGATCAAAAGTTTGAAGCCAGCCCTGGCAACTTAGCTGGACTGTCCAAAAGGGGAACATGTGGAGGACCCCTGGGCGACTCTCCTTGAGGAGGCGCAGCTGCCTCCGTGTTGGCTGAGCCTGGCCCTGTGTCCATGCGCTGATATGCGCGGAGCGGGCTGGGACTTTTCCTTATCCCTCTGGTGGGCTGTAAGCAGTGCACATCGGGCCAGCCGCGGTGTGGATGTGTAGTCTTCGAAGATGGCTGGCGTGTTTCCCGGGCCCTCCCCGCTTGTTCCCTTGGGCGAGCCGGGACGGGGCGGGATGAAGAGCCAGTGCTCCACGCCGTCCACGAGGGTCCAGCCTGGGGACGGAGGCCAGGACTTCCTGGGGCTTGAAGGATGACACATCAGAGCTGAAGCACCACCCCAAACCTTAGATACCATCTCAGCTGTGTCACGCAGGTGACGCTTTCTGCAGATCCTTCTCTCTGCATCGGCGGAGGCGATTCAGGCCTCCTGCCCGGCCTGGCTCACGGCGCTCACCTGCTTCCCACGGTTCTCAGTCGCCGTCCTCCAGCCACTCCCTTCTTCACGAATGAGTAAAACCCGGGTTCGGCCCTGGGAGAGGCGCTTGTTCCGGACGGCCATCGTTGTGGCCGGACTTAGGGCCCCTCGGCTCCCTGTAACTACAAATAGGCCTTCGTGTCTTCATTCTCGCCGTGGGCTGCCCTGGAAGCGGTAGGTGGGAACTAACGCGCTACGAGTCCAGCAACTTCCCCGTGGCATAACACACGCAAACTTCCTGGGCCGAGGCGAGGACCGGGACAGCTCGGCCGCCGGGGAGGCGCCCAGGGACGGAGCCTTGCCCTGCACGCCCAGGCCCCGGTTCTACCCAGAACTGCAAAACAACACAAACGAAAGACGGCGACACGCGTGGTGGCACCTGTTAGCGACACCCGCGACGCGCACGGCGCCGTGAGCTCTGGCCCCGGGACAGCTTCCCCTGCCCGGAGGAGCCCCGTGCCCAGAGCCCTCCCCGCGCCCGCCCCTCTCCCGCGGTGGGCACTTCCCGTCAGGGCCGCGTCAGCAGACGGCCGTGTGACCGGCGTTGCTGTCGCTGGGTGTGACCTTTGCATCCTTGTGGCCGAGTAACAGCCACTGAGTGAGCGGCGGCCTTGGTCTCCATTCTCCTGCCGGCCCTGGGCATCGCTGCCTTGCTTCTGAGAAAAGCGGGGCTCTGGACATGGTGTTCACACCCGGCACACACGTCACCCCGGGTGCACGTCACACGCGGGCACACATGCCTACCAGCGGGACCGCTGAGCCGCAGTGGCCGCGCTGTTTCACCTTCCCGTCAGCAACACTTGAGGCTCTCCACGCCCCTCCTGACGCGGCGTGTGCACGTATGTCCTGTGCGGGCTGGGACTGGACCTGGCGCCTTCACCCGGAGCTACATCCCCAGCCTTTTTTATTCTTTTATTTTGAGACAGGCTCTCACTAAGTAACTAAGTTGTCCGAGCTGGACTTGAACTTGGAATCCTCCTGCTTCAGCCTCCCACAGTGCTGTGATTATAGGCAGTGGTAGCTGTCTCAGGGTGAGACATGGAGATGACTTTGAAAGCTGACTTTCTTCATGTTACAATTAATCCAGCAGCTGCCGCCCTTCCTGTACCCTAGGCACTAAGTTAGCAACCAGGGAAAACTGCTGCAGCCTGCATCTTCAGGGAACTCAGGGTCAGCCAGGGGGACGGAGAGGAAACAGCAGAGAAGAGATGTGTGGAGATGAGGCCAGGGGCCAGGGGACCTGGAGCAGCCTCAATAAATTGCCCAGACTGGCTTCACACTCAAGAGCCTCCTGCCTCAGCCTCCTGAGTAGCTGGGATTACAACTGTCTGCCACCACCCCTAGCCTAGGAGAAGCATTTGTTTTAAACTTGTTTTCCCTACAGTCGTTAGTAAAATAAAATAATAATTTACCTCCTCTACCAAGTACCAAGTACACACAGGCACACAACAAAACATCACAAAAGAACATCAAAATATTTTTTATGTTACTCTGTCCTGTGTCATTTAAGAAAAACATTGATTTCATAACCGGTGACTGCCTTGGGAAGCTTGACAAACCTGCGGTAGAAGAGTGAGCCAGGGACATCCTGCAACCTGGTTCCATTCACAGACACTGGAAATGACTTGTGTAGCTATCAGTTTGTTTGTTTGTTTGTTTTTGTTTTTGTTTTTGTTTTAAAAAAAAATGTGTGATGCAGCTGGGTTTGGTGATGCACACCTGTAATTCCAGCACTCAGGAGGCTGAGGCAGGAGGATCCCCATGATTTCAAGGCCAGCCTGGGCTACGTAGTGAGACATTGTCTCAAACAAACAAACAAAAAGACTCCAAGCAAACTGAAGCAAATATTAACAAGGGCCAGTCCTGGGTGGTTTCTGGAGATTACACTGGCCCTGGGAAGGAGCTGGAATGACTCCTGGGAAAGACTGAGGCCGCTGGGCCCAGCTCTGCAGCTGCGAACAGAAGTGGCTGAGGGCCCTGCGGGGAGCCAGGGCACCCAGCCAGGAAGCAGCCATGGTCACTGTGGGCACCACCACCGCTTCCTCCCTCCCTAGGAATGGCCGCCAGGTGCCCCTGCCATTCTCTGGGGCCCTGATGACAGGGCCTGGCCTTCTAGAACATTCTAGACAGGACTCTGGCGGGCAGCACCGTTGAAGTCTTTTATCCCTGGCCCTTACCAGGTAGGAAAGCGGTTGTGATTTCAAATAAGTACAAAAAAGTATTTAACTCCCCGCTCCTGAGGACCTCTGAAGGAAGTTAATGGTTTAATGTTTACTTTTCAAAATTATAAACTGGGTGTGGTGGTGCACACCTATAATCCCAGCACTCAGGAGACTGAGGCAGGAGATTCTCTGTGAGTTCTTGGCCAGCCTGGACTATATAGTGAAATCCTGTCTCAAAAAAGGCAAAAAAAATTTAATTTTTTAAAAAATCAAAATTATGGTAAAATACAGGACCTAAAGTTGGCCATTTTAATCCCTCCCTACCTCCCCCATTCTGGAGTACTGGGGATTGAACCCAGTACCTTTCCACTGAGCTACATCCGCAGCCCTATTGCACCCTCCTGCTCTGGCCTTCCGGGTAGCCGGGCTGACGGGGGCACTGTTGTGCCGGGCTTTAACCACTTTAATTTGCACAATTCCAAGGCAGCAAGTGTGGGCCACTGTTCCCTGTAACTCCACAGAGTTATTTATTTATCAATTTATTGAGGCTGCTCCGGGTCGGATCGGCTCTTTGGACCTGAACCACCCGCCCTGCGGCTGCCAGCACCAAGCTGCACCATAGATACCGATGCCCAGGCCAGCTATTCAAGTAAAAAACACTTCACTGCACTAGTCTGACCATGTTAAGCACGTCTCACAAGTCTGTGAGGTGCCTATTTTTTGTTTGCTTGTTTGGGGTCTTGGTTTTTTGAGACAGGGTCTCGCTATGTAGCCCAGGCTGGCCTCAAACTCGTGTAATCCTCCTGCCTCAGCCTCCCGAGTGCTGGGATGACAGGTGTGCGGCACCACATCCAGTGCGGCAGCTGCTCTACCCGGTCCCCTCCCATGCGATTAACTCACAAAGGGTCACACTGCTAAATGCCAAGTAGCCAGAAGGCTTGGCCCACCAGCCTGGCCCTTTCCCTAGGCGACTGCAGGCGTGGACCCAAGCCCTGTTCTCAGCGCCTGTTTGCACTGCGTCACTGAGGGCTGGCCGTCTCATTTCGGGCACGGAGCTGGGGCTGCCGGAGGGGACCCGCTGAGTCACCCACAGGAAGCACCACGTCCTCCTCCCCGTTGCTCTTCAGTGGGTTGGTTCCTTCCTGAGCCAGGAGGAAGCCGGCCACTTACTCAGCTGAGTCACAGCCACCTGAGCTGACGGTGACAATCCGCCCATTGTTGCAGCTCCTCAGCGCTGACAGCCTGGTCGTCAGCCTGCGCTTCGTGAGCGCCTGCCGCATACCGGGCCCAGTGCCAGGCTGTGGGTCGAGGCAGAGCGATGAGCCCTGAGGGTGGGCAGATGAGGACGGAGGTGACGGCGGTTTGGAGAGGGGCGTGGCAGTCTGAAGAGGTGACAGACTGCATGAGAGGGGACAGCCTTGGGTATCTGGGTGCAGAATGCCCCAAGTCTGATGGTTCCTCAAACAGTGGGGCCAGGTGAGGTGGGCCACACCTGTACCCGAGCGCTGGGGAGGCTGAGGCAGGAGGATCGCTGAGTTTGAGACCAGTCCCTAAACAAAACAAACACAACGCAACAAAACAAAAGAGCAGAAATGAGGGCTGAGGTGTGGCTCTGCAGAAGAGCACGAGCTTAGCAAGCGCGAGCCCTGCGTTCTGAACCCGCTGGCAAAAACACAAAGAGGGAAGACGTGGAGTTACCGTGTGACCTGGTGACTCTGCCGGGCACAGGTCTCCGGGAACCGGAGCTACTCAGCGCTACTCAGCAGGCCACGTGTGAGGACAAGCACCCAGCGAGCCGCGCACACAGGCAGGCTGCGGCACAGGTCGGAAGGCTGAGCCACCTGTCACTGCAGCGCAAACCTAGAAATGCAAATGAGAGACTCTGGATGCAAAGGTCACCACCGTCGCGGGTTTTTTTTTTTTTTTTTTTTGCACCCTGGGGGCGGAGCCCAGGGCTGGGCCACAGCGCAGCTCCTCATGATCTTGACACAAACTCTTGCTAAACTGCCCAGGCTGGGCTCAGACCTGTGATCCTCCTGCCTCAGCCTCTTGCGTAGCTGGGATTATAGGTGTGTACCTCTGCACCCAGCTTGCATGATCTGTTTTCTAGGGCAGATTCAGAATAGGCAAATCTAGAGAGCCAGGAAGCAGATCAAGGGCTGCCTGGGGAAGGGATGCCAACTTACGGGATGGTGAAAAGGCTTGGAAACTAGAGTCCTGTAGTACCACACTGTGAATATGAATTTTTTTTTTTCTTTTTGGTCTTTTTGAGACAGGGTCTCGCTATGCAGTTCAGGCTGGCCTTGAGCTCACTTTGTAGCCCAGGCTGGCCTCGAAGTCACAGTGATAATCCTGCCTCAGCCTCCCACGTGCTGGGATGACAAGCTGACATAGGGTACACATCTTAAATCCCAGCATTTTAGGAGGCTGAGGCAGGAGGTTGTACATTGCAGCCCATCTTGGGTGTCTTAGTGAGACCTTGTGTCCAAATAATAAAAAAGGGCTGGGGGTGCAGCTGTGTGGAGGCGGCCTTGGGTTCAGTGACCAGGTGGGGGGCAGGAGGGAAGGGGAGAAGGAAGGGAGGGAGAGAAGGCGGGAGGGAAACTTCTGTTGAAAAGGCAGAGGCTGCAAGAGAAGCTGGGTCCTGCCCAGGCCTCTCGGGTGACACCCGCATGGCAGGAAGGAACGGCCACCTCCCGCCACCTCCGGCCAGGAGGGGACAGGACGGAGGTGGGGTTGAGCAGCGCAAGGAGGCCACGGCTTTTGACCTCAGCGTCCTGGTGTCATCTGCCCAGGCCAGGCCTGGCCGCCCCACTGTCACCCCGAGTCTGCGGCAGGGCCCGGGTCCTGCGGTCTCGCATGACTGCAGCAGCTGGGAGAAACGAGGGCAGGGGTTTTCTACCAAAGGCGCCGCTCGGCCGTGCTGCCCGAGCCGAGGACCCGACTCACTCCCACTGACCCAGCCCACTCGGCTGCCGGACCTCGGACCGGGCACGTCTGGGCCACAGCCTGGAGGGAGAAGCCTTTTCCCAAGCGGAAGTCCGGCTGGAAGCCAGGATGTGTCTTTCCAGAACAGGAAGTTGGCTGAGTCTCCGGACTGCACACCCAGCAGCGCCTCCACCTCCAGGCAGCCTCCCTGATTTCTCAGCGGGGGGGGCCCCCGCCCTCATTTTGTGGCCTGTCTGGGCTGCCCCAGCATGCTGCACGCTCTTCACACACACTGGAAGCTTCTGTTTTCTGGGGTGGGGTGAAGGCTGGCCTTGAACTCAAGCGATCCTCCTGCCTCAGCTTCCCAAGTGTTGGAATCACAGGTGTGTGCCACCACATTCGGGAGCGTCTTAAAGGCAGGGCCGAGTCCTGCATAGTAGGTGTCTCCCACATCGCAGCAGACGGGCCAGCTCCGACCCTTGCACAAAGCCCTCCATCCTTAGCCTGTGGGATGGCTCCTCTCTCCCACCCCACCTCCTCAGCTGTGGGGCCAAAAGGAGCCTCAGTTCTTCTCCCACTCAAGTGCACCTGAGGGCAAGCCACTGGGGCGCATGCTCAAACTCAAGAAGCCTGGCTCTATCAGCCAGGCGGGGTGGCGCACGCCTGTAATCCCAGCACTTAGGAAGCTGAGGCAGGAGGATCACCGCGGGTCAAGGCCAGCCTGCACTGCATAGGGAGACCCTGTCTCAAAAAACCAATAAGAAAAAGCGTCTGACCTGGCTCCTGCCTTTCCTCAGTCCTGGGGTTCTGGCAGTAGCTGGCTACTGGGCCGGGCTGGCTGCCTGCCTGGGTGGATTTCCCCACCCTGCGCCTGTCTCAGCCAGCTCCACAGCAGGCCTCACCCTGGCCGCGCCTCAGAACCCGCAGCCCCTGCAGACAGGCTCCCACAGGGCTTTGTTTCTATCTCTTCCCTCTCTTCCCTCTCTCCTGCTCCCTCTTTTTTTTTTTTTTTTGGTTTTTTGAGACAGGGTCTCGCTGCGTCATTCAGGCTGGCATTGAACTCACTGTGTAGCCCAGGCTGACCCCAAACTCATGGAGATCCTCCTGCCTCAGCCTCCCGAGTGCTGGGATTACAGGTGTGTGCCACCACTTTACAGAATGTAGGCTTTATATTTTAGAAAACTTTTAAATTTACAGGAAGATTATGAAGATAGTATGGAGAGTTCCATATCTCACACATCCAGATCCTTTTTCTTTTTCTTTGAGGTGCTAGAAATCAAACCCAGGGCCTGGTGCACACTAGGCCAGCGGTCTGCCATGGAGCTCCAGCCCCAGCCCCCAGGTCTGGGTTTTTAAAATCTTCTATTAGTGTGATAACTTTGCCCCAATTAATGAGCCAATGTCATTAATTTAGCAGTAACTACACTTTGTTCACACTTTCTTAGATTCTCCTAAATGTACTTTTTTTTTGTACCGAGAATCAAACTCAGGACCTTATGCTTGCAAGGCAGGCGCTGTGCTGCTGAGCTGTCTCCCCGGCCCAGCCCTGATGTTCTGTGTGTACTAGGTATTGAACACACGCACACACGTGTGGTACTAGGGGCTGAACTCAGGGCCTACTGAACTGCATTTTGCTAAGTCATCAAGTTGCCCGACTGGGCTCAATCTGCAATCCTCCTGCCTCAGCCTCCTGCAGTGCGTGGATTATAGCGTGTCCCGCATGGACGGGCTCCTGATGTCTCTTGGGAGCCTGGATCCCGTCAGGGCAGCATGTGGCTTCCTCATCTTGGCTCCTAGGCGTCCCTTGGCTGTCTCTCCTCTCCCTGTTGCGGATGGCCGTGCTGGGTTTGAAGGTTGTGCTCCCTGTCCTGCTCTGATGTTTCTTCACGCCTGGGGTGGGGGCTTGGGAGGGGTCAAGGTGCCATTTGCTCTGCGTCTTGTCCAAGGTATGGAATTTTAGTATGATTTTCCACTGGTTTTTTTGGTTTGATTTTTTTGTTTGGTTTTTGTCTTTTGGGACAGAGTCTTGCTATGGAGCCCAGGCTGGCCCCCACAGCGATCCTCCTGCCTCAGCCTCCTGAGCACTGGGATTACAGGCGTGCGCCACTCTGTCAGGCTACCAAAGCCACCTTGGTTTCAAGGGTACTTCCTCCTATCCCACAAAGAACTCAAGACTCCAGGGCAGCGGTCCTGCTGAGACGGCGGCCGAGGCCTAGTGCCCGGATGTGCAGAGGGCGTGGAGACCCAAGGGTGCAGATTTCCTTCAAGGGATGCGGGGACACCACGGTGGCTGACAGCCACACTTACCTGGGGGCCACTGGGGACATTGGTGACCCCGCCCTGGAGCAGGGGAGAGGAATTGGTCTTCTGCTGTGCGAACCCAGAGAGAAGGAGCAAGGAGAGACCCCGATCCCAGAGGGGCGGGCCAGCGCCGCTGCTTGTGCTGCCCGTGGGGGCCCACAGGTGCCCCCAGGTGCCCACTGGGTACTGGGCCCCAGGCCGCACACAGAGCCAAAGCACACAGAACCTTCGGGGGAAGCTGGCTGGGCCGGAGCCTCAGATCCCCGCGGGGGGACCTGCAAGGAACAGCCATCCCGGCTGCGCAGGGCCGAAGGTGTCCCCAGTGCCTCACGTGTTGAAATTTAACCTCCGCTGTGAAGGAGGCAAGGGTGGCAACCTAGCCGGGCGTGGTGGTGCACACTGGTGACCTCAGCACCCAGGAGGCTGAGGCAGGAGGAGCGCCCCAAGAATATACAGCAAGGCCCTCAAAACAACAGCAACAACAAAGAAAGTGGTGAGGACAGGAGGAGGCAACTCAATCAGATCAGATCACGAGGGCAGAGACCCCGTGTGACGCCGCGTCCTGGGCGTTTGTAGACAGGGCCGGAGACGTGTGCACCCACCTCCTGCCACTCGACGCCCCGTGCCACCTCGGGAGCGGCCCTGGGGATCTCGTGGCCACAGGAAATGGACAGATAGTCCGCCAGGGGACAGACCTCGAGGGAGAAGCCGCAGACACCGTGAGCGGCAGGCAGAGGCCGGGGCCCAGGCGCTGGGGTCCCCACACGGAGCCGGGGAGCCCGGACGCTACGGCTGCCGAGGGCAGGGCTCGCCCAGCCTGAACGCGTCTGCAGGGGCCAGGGCTGGAAAAGGCGGGCTCAGCCATGCAGTGCAAGGCAAGTTCAAGCCTGGCCCAGCAACTTAGTGACTTAGGAGACCCTGACTCAAAATAAAAACCTTAAAAAGGAGCGGGGGTGTAGCCCAGTGCAAAGGCCCTGGGTTCAGTCCTCAGTATTTAAAAAAAAAAAAAATGACAGCCAGGCATGGTGGTGCACGCTTGTAATCCCAGCACTCGGGAGGCTGAGGCAGGAGGATCATTGCAAGTTCAAGACCAGCCTGAGCTACAAAGTGAGCTCAAGACCAGCCTGAACTGCATAGTGAGATCCTGTCTCAAAAAGACAAAAAACAAAACAAAACAAAAAAACACAACTGACGTGACCAACTTGGAAAAGAAGAAAATAGGACTTGTAGAAATGTTTTTAACCGCCAGGTGTGGTGGTGCATGCCTGTAATCCCAGCACTCAGGAGGCTGAGACAGGAGGACTGTTGTGAGTTCAAGGCCAGCCTGGGCTACAAAGTGAGGGCACAGCTGGCCTGAATTACATAGGGAGACCCTGTTTCAAAAAGACAAAAAAAAAAGTTTTTAACCCCAATACATTCAATCATCACCTTTGACAGAGGCGTGGACTTGGTCAGAGCATCAGGGAGCCGGCAGAAGAGACTGTCACTGCAGAACACGGAGCCCTAAAGAATCCACCAAGGAAAGGGAATGAGAGTTTAAAGCTCCTACAGTTTTTGGAAATGTCAGACACAGAGGCAAGAGAGAATAGGGTAGAAGAACCATTTCAAGAGGCACCTACTGGGTGTGGTGGTCCACGCTTGTCATCCCAGCACTTGGGAGGCTGAGGCAGGAGGATCCCTGGGAGTTGGAGGTCAGTCTGGCTGGCCTGAATTGCAGTCTGACCCTGTCTTTTTTTTTTCTTTTTTGGTTTTTCTCCAGTACCGGGAACCGAACTCATGACCTTGCACTTGCCAGGCAGGCGCTTTTGCCGCTGAGCTAAATCCCCAGCCCCAGTCTGACCCTGTCTTAAAAAAAAAGAGGAACCAGCTGGGAGTTATCTAGACCTGAGGAAAGACGGCCTTCTGCAGTGTGAACGAGTGCGCTGTGGGAGGCATGGGTGTCGGCCTGTGCCGCCCGTCCTCGCCCCAGCTGCCTGAGGTCCCCACCACCACTCAGCCCCTGGCATCCGGCACACCCCTCCTGCTCCCCTGGGGTTTAGAGTAGATGGGCAGGGAGGAGTGTGGGCAGCTGCTCAGCCTCAACTGGCTGGCCAGGCTGCAGCCAGGGTTTCCCTGCGCTCTCCCCAGCCTTACCCTGTTCTGTTCGCGGGCCTGAGGCTCCAGGCTGGTGCATGCTGGACAAGCGGCAACTACAGCCCAGCCCTTGAGTCTGAAAACATTTTCAGTTCAGAAAACTAGCCTGGGCTGGGCGTGGTAGTGCACGCCTGTAATCCCAGCACTCGGGAGGCTGAGGCAGGAGGATCACAAGTTTGAGACCAGACCAGACAATTTAGCAAGACCCTGTCTTAAGACTAGGGATGAACAGGAGGATCGTTTAGAGTTCAAAGCCAACCTGGGCTACAAAGTGAGCTCAAGGCCAACCTGAACTGCACAGCGAGACCCTGTCTCAAAGAGACAAAAAAAAAAAAAAAATCCTAGGGATGTAGCTCAGCGGCAGAGCGCTTGCCTAGCAATGTACAAGGCCCTGGGGTCAACCCTGAGTAAAACAACAAAGACCCCTCCGCACACCGAGTGCCGGACCCACCGTCTCTTCCTGAAACCGTACCTTGTCGGTGAACCCCACTCCTGCCGCCACTCCCGTCTATACAGCAGGCGTCTGGGTTCCCTGACCCCAGAGTTCACGGGGAATTGGCAGGGTTGGTCGAGCCCAGGTGGGAAAGGGTTCAGACCACCTCCCAACATGAGGTCAGACAGATCTTGGAGGGGGACACACACACACACACACACACACACACACACACACACACACACATACACACACACACCCAGAGCACAGCCTGGCTTCCCGCCCAGGGCCTTCGGCTGCACAGCTTTACTGAGCTGGAGTGGGGTCTGCGGAAAACGTGAACGGGCCGTTTCCCGCCTAAAGCTCTCCCTTCTTCCTGACTTCTCATCAGAAACTCTCCTCCTGCCACTGCTACTAAAATGCTCCCTCAGGCGTGGGGGCGCATGCACCTGTCATCCCAGCACTCGGGAAGGCCCAGGCAGGAGAATCACAAGTTCATGCCCAGCCTCGGCAACTTAGCAAGACTACGTCTCAAAATTTAAAAAGTAAACAAATAAGACGGGGCATGGTGGCGCACGCCTGTAACCCTAGCACTCGAGAGGCTGAGGCAGAAGAATATCCATGAGTTCGAGGCCAGCCTGGGCTACATAGCAAGACCCTGTCTCAAAAATACATACATATGTACATACATGACTGGAGATGTAGCTCAGTGCAAAGGTCCTGGGTTTCACCCCCAGTACTGATAAAAAAAGTTCACACTGTCTGGTTTTATTCTCTGAAATTCTCCTGGTTATACTACTTGTTTCCTTGGTTATATTGTTCTCTTTGATGGGACATAAACTTCAAGGACAAAGGCCTTACCTGTTTGGTGCACACTGCATTCTTGCTATATAGAACCACACCCAGTTTTTATAGTAGGTGCTCAATAAAATTTTAGAACTGATGAATAAATGAAAGAACATAAGGCGGGAGTTTTTGCAAGAGGGAGGTGTAAAGGAAGACATGGAGCGCCTGTCCCAGGATTCCCAGGATTAGACGGACACACCCTAAATAGGAAAAGGGCTGTATCTCGGTGTGCTCTTGAGAACACTGGAGCTGAATGTATGTACTGTTTACTTATTTGCTGCACAGGGAATCGAACCCGGGGCATCGTACCTGCTGGCCACGCACTCTGCCATGGAGCTGCACCCATAGCCCTTTCTAAAACTTTTATTTTTAGACAAGGTCTTCAACATTTGCCTCGACTGGACTTCAATCTGTAACCCTCCTGCTTCAGCCTACCTCGTAGCGAGGATTACAGGAGCGTGTCACCACGCCCAGCTCTGGGTTTTTGCTGACATATTTCATGATGCTCAGTTGCTCAGGCAGCGTGTTCCAGAGCCGTTTCAGGGGAGGAGGATGCAGTTTGGGGCTAAGACAGCGCCCTTGGAGGAGAGGGAGGGGTGGCTCTGGACCCCGGAGTTGGGAGCGGCATGCGGGTGGCGGCGGCGGGGGAGTGTGAGATGACATAAGAGGCCCGCGGGGTGTCGGAACACTCACACCTTCACACGGTTCTGCCTGGGACGTGACGCGCCACATCTCAGCGGTGGGAGGATCCGGATTTAGTGCCTGAATCAACACCTTCTGCTGAGACGCACCTCCACTTGGAAAGATGGCATGGGATTGAAGGCACAGGGAAGGGAAGCCCGACCCTGCTGTCCTCAGTACTGAGCCTCGCGCCCTGGCTGTTTCAGGAGCGCCGCGTGTTCGGGGCGCACGTGCGGGTCAGGGTTATGGTGTCCCGTGGGCCTGCCCTCAGCTGCACGACTCTGAGTGACACCAGCCGTGACACAGTGAGGCCCCCCTGCTTTACACAGAGGGCCGTGTGGGACGTGGTGTGAGCCCAGCTGCTCGGATGGCACTGGCGAAAGACCTGGAAGGGACCCCCGACCTGGGGACACGGTTGGGTTTTCGCTGTCCTTGCCGTGCTAGGGACTGGACTCACAGTCTTCGCACTGAGCTACGTCCCAGACCTTTGTACAATTTTAAAACGAGGTTTCACTAAGTTGCTAAATTGCCCAGGCTGGATTCAAACTTGTCCTTCTCCTGCCTCAGCCTCCCAAAGTGCTGGGATTACAGGCATGTACCACTGTGCCCAGCAGGTTTTTGTTTTTTTGTTTGCTTTCTGAAACAGAGTGTAGCTACATAACCTAGGCTGGCTTCCTGGGTAAAAGTGATTCTCCTGCCTCAGCCTCCCAAGTAGGCTGTTTTTTTGGGTTTTTTGGTCTTTTTGAGATAAGGTCTCTCTA